AGAAATCAAATGACGTATTGCATTGGGTAAATCTGCTGCAAAAGACCTCTTTAAAGTGCTAAAAATCAAATATGTCACTTTGAGGACTAAGGTGCACCTGATCCAAGCAATGTAATTTTCAATCACCTCAAATGCACGCAAAAACTGGACAATGAATAAGGAAGACCAAAGAAGAATGGATGCCTTTGAATTATAGTGTTGGTCTAGGTAAAAGATGCAGAAATGAGGTCTGGAAGAGAAATATCTGACCACCTCAATTACTGCCTAGTAACCAGCCTTCTCCTGCAATACTCTCGCCTCAGAGCCTGCCCAACTACATGTGACTGCACTCTGGGAACATTTGGCACTTGAAGAGGTGATTGGCACAGGACTTCTGGATGACATGGAGGGTGAGGAGGTAGGGTAGTGTTATCCTGCTCTGAAGGTTTATTCAATGGAGTCCCTGGGTGGTACCAACGGTTAAGAGCTCAGCTATTAAATGAAAGGTTGGTGGTTCGAACCCACCTAAAGGCGGCTCAGAAAACAGGCCCGGTGATCTACTTCCAAAAGATCACAGAAAACCCTATGGACCACAATTCTACTATCACACACATGGGGTTGTCATGAGTTGGAATCGACTCAAAGGCAACTTGGCCTTTGTTTGTTTCTTTGAAGGTTTACTCTATTTATTCCAAAAGAAGCGTGATAGTCATGGCTCAACTTCTCTGCTCTTTGGTCATCCTGGGGTCACCACTACCAATAATTCGTGGTTGTTGTTAGGTGCCATCGAGTCAGTTCTGATTCATAGTGACCCTATGCACAACAGAATGAAATACTGCCCAGTCCCTCACCATCTTCCCGATCATTGCTATGCTTGAGCCCACTGTTGCAGCCACTGTGTCAGTCTATCTCGTTGAAGGTCTTCCTCTTTTTTGCTGACCATCTCCTTTACCAGCATGATGTTCTTCTCCAGGGACTGGTCCCTCCTGATCACATGTTCAAAGTACGTGAGATGAAGTCGCCCTCCTCGTTTCTAAGGAGCATTCTGGCTGTACTTCTTCCAACACAGATTATTCATTCTTCTGGCAGTCCATGGTATATTCAATAGTCTTCACCAACCCCATAACTTAAAGGCATCAATTTTTCTTTGGTCTTCCTTATTCATTATCCAGTTTTCGCATGCATATGAAGCGACTGAAAATACCGGGGATTGGGTCAGGCGCACCTTAGTCCTCAAAGTGACATCTTTGCTTTTTAACACTTTAAGGAGGTCTTTTGCAGCAGATTTGCCCAATGCAATTCAATAAGTCCTTTGATTTCTTGACAGCTGCTTCCATGGGTGTTGCTTGTGGATCCAAGTAAAAGGAAATCCTAGACAACTTCTTTTTTTTCTCCGTTTATCATGATGTTGCTTATTGGCCCATTTGTAAGGATTTTTGTTTTCTTCATCTTGAGGTGTAATCCATACTGAAGGCTGTAGTCTCTGATCTTCATCAGAAAGTGCTTTCAAGTTCTCTTTGCTCTCGGCAAGCAAGGTGGTGTCATCTGCATATTGCAGGTTGTTAATGAGTCTTCCTCCAAGCCTGATGCCGCATTCTCCTTCATATAGTTCAGCTTCTTGAATTATTTCCTCAGCATACAGATTGAATAAGTATGGTGAAAGGATAAAATCCTGTCACATACCTTTTCTGATTTTAAACCATTTAATATCCCCTTGTTCTGTTTGAATGACTGCCTCTTAGTCTATGTACAGGTTCCTCATGAGCACAATTTAGTGTTCTGGAATTCCCATTCTTTGCATTTTTATCCATAATTTGTTATCATCCACACAGCTGAATACCTTTGCATAATCAATAAAACACAGGTAAACATCTTTCTGGTATTCTCTGCTTTCAGCCAAGATCGATCTGATATGAGCAATGATATTCCTCAGTCCATGTCCTCTTCTGAATCTGGCTTGAATTTCTGGCAGTTCCCTGTTGGTGTCCTGCTGCAACTGTTTTTGAGTTATCTTCAGCATAATTTTAATTACATGTGGTATTAATGATATTGTTCCATAATTTCCCCATTCTATTGGATCACCTTTCTTTGGAATGGGCACAAATATGGATCTCTTCCAGTTGGTTGGCCAAGCAGCTGTCTTCCAAATTTCTTGGCATAGATGAGTGAGCACTTCCAACATTGCATCTGTTGTTGAAACATCTCAGTTGATATTCTATCAATTCCTGGAGGCTTGTTTTTCGCCAGTGCCTTCAGTGCAGCTTCAACTTCTTCCTTCAGTACCATTGGTTCTTGATCATACGCTACCTCCAGAAATGCTTGAACGTCAATCAATTCTTTTTGGTACAGTGACTCTGTGAATTCCTTCCATCTTCTTTTGATGCTTCCTGTGTCATTTAATATTTCGCCCATAGAATCCTTCAATATTGCATCTCCAGGCTTCAATTTTTTCTCCAGCTCTTTCAGTTTGAGAAATGTCGAGCGTGTTCTTCCTTTTTGGTTTTCTAACTCCAGGTCTTTACATTTCATTATAATATTTTACTTTGTCTTTTCGAACTGCCCTTTGAAATCTTCTGTTCAGCTCTTTTATGTGATCATTTCTTCCTTTCACTTAATTTACATTCAAGAGCAAATTTCAGGGTCTCTTCTGACCTCCATTTTGGTTTGTTCTTTCTTTCCTGTCTTTTAGTGACCTTTTGTTTTCTTCATGTCTGACGTCCTTGATGTCATCCCACAACTCACCTTGTCTTCGGTCATTAGTGTTCAGTGCATCAAATCTATTCTTGAGATGGTCTCTAAATTCAGGTGGGATATATTTTGGCTCTTGTGGACTTGTTTTAATTTCCTTCAGCTTCAAGTTGAACTTGCACATGTGCAACTGACGGTCTGTTCCGCAGTCAGCCCCTGGCCTTGTTTTGACTGATGATATTGAGTCTCTTTCCACAGATGTATTCTATTTGATTCCTGTGTATTCCATCTGGTGAGGTCCATGTGTATATTCGCTGTTTGTTGAAAAAAGGTATTTGAAATGAATAAGTCAGTGATCTTGCAAAATTTTATCATGTGATCTCCTGTGTCATTTGTATCACCGAGGCCATATTATCCAGCTACCAATCCTTCTTTGTTTCCAACTTTCACATTCCAATCACTAGTAATTATCAATGCATCACGACTGTATGTTCAGTGAACTTCAGACTGCAAAAGTTGGTGAAAATCTTCAATTTCTTCATCTTTGGCCTGAGTGGTTGGTGCGTAAATTTCAGTAATAGTCATATTAAATGGTCTTTCTTGTAGGCATATGGATATTATCCTATCACTGACAGTGTTGTACTTCAGGATAGATCTCGAAATGTTCTTTTTGACAACGAATGTGATTTGTCAAATTCAATTTGTCATTCCTGACATAAAAGACCATATGATTGTCTAATTCAAAATGGCCAATACCAGTCCATTTCAGCTCACTAATGCCTAGGATATCAATCTTTATGCATTCTATTTCATTTTTGACAACTTCCAATTTTCCTAGATTCATACTTTGTACATTCCACATTCCAGTTATTAATGGATGGTTGCAGCTGTTTCATCCCATTTTGAGTAGTGCCACATCAGCAAATGAAGGTCCCAAAAGTTTTACTCTATCCATGTCATTAAGGTTGACTGTACTTTGAGGAGGCGGCTCTTCCCCAGTAGTATTTTGAGTGCCTTCCAACCTGAGGGGCTCTTCTTCCAGCGCTATACAATGTTCCACTGCTATTCATGAGGTTTTCACTGGCCAATTTATTTAGAACTAGAGCACCAGGTCCTTTTTCCTAGTTTGTCTTAATATGTAAGCTCCACTGAAACCTGTCTGCCATGGGTAACCCTGCTGGTATTTGAAATACAGGTGGCATAGCTTCCAGCATAACAGCAACATGCAAGCCACCACGTTATGACAAACTGACAGACAAGTGGTGAGCCAACAACTTGGTGCCCTCAAAATTACAGACGTACTCTGAGAAGCAGGTCCCCCACTGGCTGAGTTACCACTTCTATTTCCTGCAAATACCTTCCCCTACCTGATCAAACTATTCTCTGATCAAATACATTGCAAAGATAGTTAAGATTTTCACTCACAAACAATAATATAATTTAAACGTGATTGTGGAGTGCTAAGCAATCCACCAGCCACTCCGCAGGAAAAAGATGTGGTTGTTTGCTTCTGTAAAAGATTTACAGCCTTGGAAACCCTATAGGGCAGTTCTACTCCGTCCTATAGGGTCACCATGAGTGGGAATCTACTCGATGGCAATGAGTTTAGTTTGGGAAGCAACTCCCAAGCTTGATGCACTAAAATTTTCAATCAAGCAGAGCCACCTAGTGGTAGTAAGATTTTTTTTTTTTTGTAATTCTCATTTCCTCTCATATATTCAAGTATTTTTTGTTTTTAATGTTCATTTTACTCACGCTTGTTTACAGTCACCCCCTTTGAGACTGTCACCTCCATCTGTTTTCCTTACCAAACATCTATTTCTCCAAGGTAAACAAAGCTACAGTTTGTTATCTTTAGGAAATTTTATGACTAAAACAGAAGTAAGCTCAACGGTGTTTCTTTAGAAGTACAAGAAAGTGTCAATACTAATTTATTTCTAAAGATAAAGGGCCACTAGAATATTTTCTTTGTAACCTTCTATTTTCCATAACTCACACTTCCTTTTCTCCACACCACACATGTACAAAAAACCAAAAAAACCAAACCCATTGCCGTTGAGTTGATTCCAACTCATAGCAACCCTATAGGACAGAGTAGAACTGACCTGTAGAGTTTCCAAGGAGTGCCTGGTGGATTGGAACTGCCAACCCTTTGGTTAGCAGCCGTAACACTTAACCACTATGCCACCAGGGTTTCCCCGCACATGTATACACTCATGTAAAACATTACATGAAACTTACAGGCACAAAGAAGGTGCATAAAAGTGCTGCACTGTGGTCTCCAACCCCACCTCCCCCAAACCCATATAATCTATGGCAGAAATTAGACATACCTTGGGTTGTGGTTTGATTCCTTTTCTTCCTTTAAAGTAGGTAAACATTCATAGTCAGCTAGGATAGGATAAAAGCAAACTCATGGTTAGTCACTGAAATTCTACTTCCTCTCCACAAAACCCATACAGTCGATCACTACATTTCCCTGAACTGCGTGGTTACTTGTGCAGAAATGTCTTCGCCGGGGAGTTCCAGAGGTTAAAAGATTAATGATGGCCAGGCGGTTGAAATGGAAAAAGCACTAATAGCACAGATACAACACTTTAACATGCCCCTGCCCCTGCCCCTGCCCCTGTTGGAAAGGGCGCAATTCATCACTGCTTGATTATTCAGTCTCTGTAGGAACCCACTGCTGCTCCAAAAGCTAGAATCTGCATGCATCAGGATAGATCCTGGAGTGACACGGCTTCACCTGAGGTCCTGAGTGTCTGCAGAATGGTTTCAGTCAGATAGCACAATAGAAATAAGCAGGTGAGGAGGGGGAACAACCAACCTTCTTAAAGTCATCAGAGTTCTCACCGATTACACTACCCATTATTTTTGAAGGGAAAAAACATCCACTGGATCTATGACCTATGTGTCAAAATAACTGCTTTCGTTCTCAAATTGTTGTTGTTAGTGGCCGTCGAGTCCATTCCAACTCATAGTGACCTCATGTGTGCAGAGTTGCTACACAGGATTTTCAAGGCTGTGACCTTTCAGAAGCAGATCTCCAGGCCTGTCTTCCAAAGTGCCTCTGGGTGCGTTCGAATCGCTAACCTTTCAGCTAGTAGGTGAGTGTGTATCATTTGCACCACCCAGAGACAGTTTTTGGGTTTTAGTGAGTGTAATAGGATCATGTTTTCATATTACAATTTTCTCAGGAATAAAACGAATTACACCAAAATATTAAGAATGAGTGAAGAAATTTTTTTTTCTTCTTTCTACTTTTTTTCCATTTTCCAAATTCTAGTCTATATGTATATTACTTTTATAAACTAAAAACAAGAAAATGAAATAACTTTTGAAATTATCGCAATGACCCCGTCCTATCCTAAAATACTTCACAGAGCCATTCTCCCTTCAATATGGGATTATGAAAAACTGTTAGAAATTATGCAAGTTAGTTGAGTGGTTTTGATCTTTTGGAAAACTCATCCTGATAAGCTTCTGGTACAATAATTCAAATGCCAATAATTCAAATCAAATGATTCGAAAACTCCATTGTAGATTGTTGAATATGACAGATTGCAGGGTATTTTTTAAGGTAATTGTTAAAAATACAAATGATAATATAAACTGTGATTTTATTAATTTAATTTGGGCATTAAAAATAATTTGCTTATTTTATGAAGGAATAGAAAAAGAAGAACCAACTGTCAACGTTGTTAAGTCCAAATATTGGTTTAATAAAAAGTAAGACACATATAATTACTGCCAGATATTAGTTGGAAATTGAGTTATATTGTGATACTTACATTATCACCTATATTAATGCTGTGACCAATAGAACATCCTGCAGTGATGGAAATGTTCTGTGTCTGTGCAGTCCAATACAGTAGCTGCTAGTAGCTATTGAGCCCTCGAAATGTGGCTAGAGTGACTGAGGTACTGAATTTTTTATTTCATTTAATTGTAATTAGTTCAAATTTAAATAGCCACATGTGGCTAATACCTATCGTACTGGGCAGTACCCAAAAACCAAACTGTTGCCCTCAATTCGATTCAGACTCATATTGACCCTACAGTACAGAGCAGAACTGCCCCATATGGGTTTCCAAGGAGCAGGTGGTGGATTCAAACTACTGACTTTTTGGTTAGTAGCTGAGCTCTTTACTACTGTGCCACCAGATCTATGTAAATTACATTTGCTAGTTTTATATCCACATATAGGTTGAAATGATAGATCTCTAAGTTCTATAAATACATAAGGTAACGCCAGATGTTAATTTTCCGGATAATTTGGTGTCAGAGATTTCCCTGTTTGGAAAAAAAAAAAAACTTTCTGCTTAAAAAAGATCATTTCAAAACTAGTAACAAAATAAGAACAAGTGGAAACAATTGATGCAATAATTAAACTGGATATTTAAGGACAGTCAGATCCAAGTTTATTATCTGCATACTCCAGCGATCTAACGTGAGACTAGGCTTTGTCATGCTCCAGGATTTGCTTTAGATATTTATAAAGCTGTTTGCAGCCTTCTATTACTACAGAGAAAAGAAAAAACTTTAGCTTACCACTTACCATTTCTATTCATGCTGTTCATCCATTTGTCAAGCTCTTCCATTTCTATTTCCATAACAGAGGGTGTGTCTTCCTCAAAAATAGGGCTAGAGACAGAGAACAAAAAGCATGAAAACAAACAAACAAAAAACGTGTAGTGTGTCGTTTGGGGTGACCCTAGAATGTTGACTTTGAGGAGAATGAACTTGATTTAGTGTCTTAAACTCCAAGGCAGCCTGGCAGGTCTTGTCCTATTCAGGACTATCAAACTCTAATAAAGGCTAAAACTCAAAACAAACCTAAGTCTATCACTGATCCAAAAACCGAAGAAGCACAAGCCCAGCCAGTGGACTGCAAAGTGAAACCGGGGAACTTGCACTGTCCCCTAAAGGTACAAAGGCTTCCACCTTGCAGCTCCTCCCGGAGTTGCCACATTTAGCCCTCCCCCCGCCACCCCCCCACCAAAAAAAAAAGTTGCCGTCGAGTCGATTCCGACTCATAGCAACCCTATAGCCTTGCTTAATTTCACTTCCCTTTCCTTGGTGTTTTTGATCACTGCCCAAGGTCAAGAGGCCACTGTCAACAGGCTACTGTTACCATACACAGCCCTACTCCAACACCCTAGCTTCTCTCTGGAGAAATGGAGCCGCAGACTTCAGAAACCCACTGTCTTCCCTTGCCCGGGCTCAGAGCGCAGTTACAGGCCAAGGAGAAGCCGTCTGTTAATGTATATTGGGTGGAGGTGGGCATGGGGGGACCACCAGCTCTAAGCCGCAGCGTAGGCGTCACATTGCGGAGAGGAAGTGAGAAAAATGTCTACACAAAGAATAAAGGGAGAGGACAAGGCGGGAGGCATCGCCACAGAACGCTCTTTTAGGTGGAATCTCGGTCTCCCTCCCTCCGTCCCTTTCTCCCCTTCCACCCGCAGCCCACCCTCCCTTTCACTTCCGTCTCCTCCTCTCCCCCGCCCCTCCCGCGGTGGCTCTCGCTGTGTAAACTTCACTCTTCTTCCTGGGATCCCCTCCCCTAATACCAGCGAAGGTACCTTCCCAGGTGATACGATTTTTTATCAGAATAAATGGACCTATGTCCTTGAAATACACCCAGGGTCAGTGTATTGAATTACTATGCATTTGGATTCGGTAGCAGTCAGAAAAAGATTTCTTTTCAGAACAGGGGGCAACGAAATAAACAAGACCCGCCCCTCTCCCCCGCCCAAACACCCCTGGCCTGAGGTTTGGAGAACGAGGCACCTTCTCTCTAGGCCGCTAGGGGCGCCCGGGAGGCAGGAGGGTCAGGCGAACAAAAACACTTGAAAAGGACCGGTGGCTCGCTAATCTAAGTGTCTTCCTAACTACTCTTGTCGATGACTGAACTGGACTGGAAGCAACGGGGAAGACTTACACTTTCACGTTTTCACTTCCCAGTTCATCTAAAAGAGAACACATATGAAGGTCATATGAGCTTGCTTTGTCCGTAAACAACTTTTTTATTTCAACAACAGCTGAAATCTCCCTTACGAAAAGAACCAAATGATTTTAAGTAAATCACAATTTTAAAGGAGCAATAATTAACCTCCAAGTCAAACAAGTGCAGAGTGCCATATGAAAATGAGGTCCTAATGGGCACGAAATCTGTTTTCTCTTAGGTATAGATGATCCCCTGGGAGCGCTTGCTTCAGGTCAGATGCTCATCCCTCTTTATTCTTCATTTCCACGTGGAGGAACACAGGGGTAAGGGAGAGAAGCCAGCCAGTTGCCGTTGAGTGGATTCCAAGTCATAGCGCCCACAAGTCACAGTGCCCCCATGTGTGTCTGAGTAGAACTGTGCTCCATAGGGTTTTCAATGGCTGATTTTTCAGAAGTAGATTGCTAGGTCTTTCTTCCAAGGCATCCCTGGGTGGGCTCAAACCTCCAAACTTTCTGTTAGTAGTCGAGTGTGTTAACTATTTGCGCCACCCAGGGACTACAAGGGAGAGACAGGAAGGGCTAAATAAGAGGACTTGCTCCTTGCCCTCTTTCAGGAACATAGCTATTGCATCTCCTTGTGACAGACTCTTCCTTTATCCCAGAGTAGAATGTGGGGTACTCCAGCACAGGCTCCAACATAGAACTCTCCTTTTACCACTGCTCTCTCTGCGACTGGATCCATCACATCTTTTGGATCTCAAAGAGACCTCCTCTATCCAGGGCTTTGAACTGGTTCAAACTGGTTCAGTCATGGCTGACTAAACGAAACCAGAACATACTTGAGTTTTTACAATTTGGTTGGTCCGGAACAATAACCAGAACTGGAGAAATTACTGGTCAAAGCCCTGGAATGGAAGACTCAGAGGAGGTGTAGTGAGTCCTTTCAGGAGCCTGATGCATGAGATTGGATTATTGGCAGGACTGTGGAGGTCCACATTCAAAGTGTCACAGTAGGCCACCATCTTTGAGCAGGGCACCCCTGTTTCCAACTCTGCTCAAAATCCAGTGGGCAAGAGATTTGGTTGCTATGCAATGTGTACACTGCCCTTGTTTTCTCAGAGGGAGATTAGGTTTCTAGCAGGGCTTTGACCTGTAATTTTCCTGGTCTGGTTATCATTCTGGTTCACCCCAATTTTAAAAATTCGAGTCTTCTGGTTTCGCTTCATCAGCCATGAAGAACTGGTTTGAAGCCCTGCCTCTATCTTAAGCAGGGCTCATCTTTCCTATTGGAGTAACACGCTTGGCTGCTAACGGAAAGGTTGGAAGTTGGAGATTATCCAGAGGCACCTGGGAAGAAAGGCCTAGAGATCCACTTGCAAAAAAGTAGCACTTGAAAACCCTAAGGAGCACAGTTCTATTCTGACACACACAGGGTCGCAGTGAGTCAGAGTAGGCTAGATGGCAACTGGTTGTACCTTTTTTATTATTCCCCAGCCCAGCACCCTTTTACTTCCTTCATAGCATTTGTCACAATCTGCAATTGATTAATTCATTTGTTTGACTCTTTTTTGGGGGGAGAGGGGTCATTCTCTCCTACTAGATTGTAAACTCCAAAAGGGGAGAGATTATGTCTGCCTTGTTCATTGTGGCAGCCCCCCATCCAGCTGGCACAGTACGTGGCACATGGTAAGCACTCAGTAAATATTTATTGAATAGATGACTAGGTCTCAATCTGTATGTTGAGCACTGAATTCATGTCCAGTCTTCTGGACTTAGTATTATCATCATAGTGAAACTTTCAACAGCCCTGTGTTTTTCACTGTTGTTTGAGGTGAGAGTCAGGTAACAGTTGGCAAAACAGCTCTAATGTAGATCAGAATACTTGTGGCAAGAATCAGAGCTCGATGCCCCCACCTCAAGCTCTGTTATATTTGGAAAGGGGGCCAACACACCTAGAAAAACGAGGCAATGATGTCAAGCTAGGAAATAGCGTAAGTCACCACCACATTTTATGATGTGAAACCACTGAAAGGCAAACCACTTTGCAGCAGGTGCTTGGCAGTCAGAAGCCTCTTTTCGTCTGGCTTACAGAAATGCAGGCCCCCAGCGAGGGGACAACAACCAGCAGGCACCTGGAACAGAGCTCCTTGCAGTGTGAGCCACTGTAATTTCCTGTGGGCTGGCAAGTTTCAATGGCATTGCTAATCCGGGAAAGCTGGGTGCAGATGTAAGTTTCATACCACCACTGCTTGCTTTGCAGGGGCTGTAGGTTATTTCCTCTTGCCCCACCGCAGGCCTCTGAAGCTTCCTGCAGATGCCCCACTCCTCAGAAACTTAGATTAGGGGGAGGGGAATATCTTCTTCTGACGTTTTATATATACACATTTTGCATCTAAAATTTACAGACTATTTCTTTTTAAATAAAATCCCCCACACAATTGAGCCTCCCCCTCAGGTGGCTCAGAAGTCTCCCCTGTTTTGTCACTCCCTCCTCCTTCCACCCCCTTTTCTCCTGCCTAATTTCCCCACTAATTTCTCAGAGAGCAAGTGGCTCCACAGCCCCACGTGTGCGCATGGGTTTATCTTTATAATCGGGGTTGCCTGCAGGCTTCGCGGTGAGCAAAAGCTAGCCCTGCATACAGATGATGGAAAAGTTTAAACACCCATTACGAAAGTGCTCCAAATGTGCCAGATGTGAAGCTGCTGCAATTAGTACTAAAGAGAGCAAAAAGCCTTCTGTGGCCTCGTCTTGCCCGCTCCACAGCCATTACCCCCGGCCAGCCTTCATGCCAACGGCAGAACATCCGGGCAGGCGAGTGCACAAGTGCAGAGCATTAAACCAGAAGGGAGACCAATTACTGGTCCTCAGCAACCAGGCCCTCCCAGCTGCACTCCACCTGGCCTGTATCTCTTTAGTAATATCCACCTACCCCTTTCCCAACAACCAGGTGGCAAACGTAGCCTTTATACAGGCTCCCCTCCCCCGCTCCACGACTGGATTCCATTTTTTGTCCTCCAGCCTTCCATTTTCTATCCTCCAGCCCTCTTTGTTCCCCCGTTCAGATCCTACATTAGACACACTTAGCCTGACAACACCCCCTTCCGGCTCCTCTCCTCTGTGTACTGGATAGTGGGATCATGGGGTGGGGTGTGCTCAGCACCCCAGCAGGAGACTGCTTTCCTCAGCCAGTTTCCAGGCTGAACAGAGAGCAGGAGAGGTCACCTCTTTCTGGAGATTTACTGAGCAGAGCCAGGCACCATGAAGCCACAGCACTGTTGAAAGTGATGGTTTACTGTCAGCGGTTTTCCCTGCAGCTCTTTGAGAGAGATCCAGCACATCAAGGCACTTCATAAATGTTAAATAATAACAACTGCAAATTTAATGCCTGGAGGTCTAGGAAGAATGATAGCAGAACATCAAGCTACTACACAATGGGTCCCTTTTCCTGATAATGAAAAGGACAGGCTCAAAGATGGAAGACATGTCTAATTAGATGAAGTGTTCTTTCTGAAAATTGTGGCCAAGTCCTCCCCAGTTGTTGAATTTATTTTCTGATGGAGAAGAATATCAGTTAATGTGCTCAGCTGTTAACCAGAAGGTTGGTGGTTCAAGTCCACCTAGAGATGCCTCAGAAGAAAGGCCTGGTGATCTACTTCCAAAAAATCAGTCATTGAAAACCCTGCGGAGCACAGTTCTACTCTAAAACACATGGGGTCACCATGAGTCGGAATCAACTTGACAGCAGCTAGTATATATGTGCGAGGAGAGAAGAAAATGTGTCTACTCCTAACTTGCTGAGGGACATCATGCATGCAGGTTTCCATGCCTTCCCACAAAACTTTCCTTTGGGAATTTTCCAAGCAAAATTCTGATTTGACCCAGTGTAGCAGTTTTAGTGTAGGGGAAAAAAAAATTGCATTTCAATCAAATTTTGCTAATTTAAATATTGTGTTTTTATTGACTTGCATTATAGCGTTAAATATGAATGAGGGGACTTCACTTAACAGTGGTTGCTAGCCTTTGTTAGCACTCATTTGTTGGAAGAGACGTTCATCTGTTAAACAATTAACCATCTGTAGTTAGTCAAGAAGTGGTTATTAAAAGAAAAAAATCAAATGAAGCTCTCATTATCAAAGACTTGTGATAAACAATTGTTTTGAAATTCTAAGTTTTCTGTGTTGTGTTTTCTTTAAACTAAAAATAATGTACCAATTTATATTAAAGAGAATGTGCAAATTTTAATTTTTAACCTTTATGAGTAGGAGATTTTTTTTTTTTTAATTCTAAAATTTCTTCAGTGACTCGTTCATTGAACAAATATTTATCAAGCAGCTACTACTGTGTGTTGGGCTAGGCACTATGTTAAGTTAAGCGGATAATAATGATTAACACTTACTTAGCACTTATAACATACCAGGTACTTTTTGTTCGAAGTGCTTTCCATGTATTGATCAATTCTCTCAATGACTCTCTAAGGTATGCATTGAATTATCCCCATTTTACCAATGAGGAAACAATCGGAGAGGTCAAGGAGCAGTATGGTTCCAGAACCTGTGCTTTCAACCTCAATACCATGCTGCTTATAGGGTAGATAGGAGAGGATCTTGGTTCTTAAAGAAGACATAGGAAAGGAAGACAAGTAACCAACTTGAAACAATGTAATACTGTGAACAGTATGTGTGAACAAATTATCAAAGTGCTGTGAGAGCGCAGAAGAGGTGGCGATTAATTTTGCCTGGGGAATAATTGCCCAAGACTTCATGAAAACTCTCTAAGTGGGCAGTACGGAATGGGGTGGAAGTTTGCCAAGCAGACAAAAAAGGATATTCCAGATAGCCGGGATAGCATCGACAAGCATGGAGACATCATGAAAACGCAATACATGCACCAGGAACAGCAATTACTGCAAGTATGGCTGCAGCGTAGGATGCATGGGCTGTGTCTAAGGATGAGGCTGGCTCTTGCTTGTGGGTGGCTTTTGAACTGTGAGACTTTCTCTTATAATAAAGTTTAACAAAAGACTGGCTTCTGGATTTAGAGACTGTGATGGTTAAGGTTGTGTCTCAACTTGGCTGGGCCATGATTCTCATCAGTTTGGCAGTTATGTAATGACGTATTTTGGCAGTTATGTAACAATGTAGTTATTCTCCATTTTGTGATATAATATAATCACCTCCATGTTGTGATCTGGTGTGATCAGCCAATAAGTTGTAAGGGGAGTTTCCTCAGGGGTGTGGCCTGCATCCAATATATTTATGGACATTGTGGCAAAGCTCCCTTGCTTGCTCTGGATCCTGCATCTGGCTTATCATCATCTAACCTCTGGTTCTTGGGACTTGAGCTAGCTGCCTGCCGTATCGCCTGCCGATCTTGGGATTTGTCAGCCCCTGCAGCCTGTGAGCCAGCAGCCTGCCATCTGACCTGCTGATCCTGGATTCGTCAGCCTCTGCAGCTATGTGAGTCAGAGGAAGCCTCCAGCCTGATGCCTGACCCATGGACTTGGGACTTGCCAGCCTGTACAACTTCATGAGACATTTTCTTGGGATAAATCTTTCTCTGTCTCTCTCTCTATATATATATACATATGCTTCATTGCTTTTGCTTCTCTAGAGAACCTAGCCTAAGACAGAGACTAAGAGCATGACTACTTGGCTGAATGTCCCCAAACCCCCACACATATCCAATTAGGTAAGACCAGGTGTGGAGCTATGGTTTTAGGTAGGAAATTCTTACTTTCCCTGGGGTTAAAAAAAATTGGGGTGCAAGTAGCTCAGTTTGCCTTTGCTTTTTCTTTAGCTAACAAAGGACTTCCCACCTGTCCACTGTTATTAGTCACTGAAAATTTCAAGCACTGGAGAAGCATATGAATTTGCTACTTTCTTGGAATCTATTCTATCAGCCCCAGCCACAGAAAGAAGTGCACTTCAGTGCTTCTTCCCCACAGCTCTTATCTGCTGGGGACAATTACACCTTATCTGTTGACATACCATAAATTACCACTTACAGCTCCTACCGAGAGTGTAAAGACTCCCTTCTCCTGTGACAGGACAGTGAGCGAGGCATCCAGGCCAAGGCACAAAGCCAGACATGCCCCGTTAGTGGGTGTGAGGGACATGGAGGGGGGCTTGTAGGCAGTGTATGAATCTGTATCTTATTAGAAAAGTCCTCATCCCTTGAGTAGTTTTTTGAATGACTTCAAAGGCTTCAACTTAAAAACCTAAGAATTAGAGTCATTTTACCAAGCGAGTCAAAAGTACCTAAGTCTGCTTTGGATCTCGAACAACCCTGAAATCTAGTATTTAATGCTCCTGTAATCAAAACTGAATAATCTCTTAAGTGTGCCTCTGACCTAGGGGATTTTCCTTCAGATAGATACTAATCTTCAAAATTAAGTCCACGTTAGCCAGTTAGTTGTCCCACTATAAAAGTTAGCATGTCTTTAATGGGAACAAGAGCTATGTCTCAACCAGGCCTTTTCAAGATCAAATTGTGACTGGGGGTGGGAGGGTGAGGGGGGAGCAAAATAATATCTGTGACAGAAACAAAGATGAAAGAATCCTCTTCTTGTGGAGATAACCCATGTTCTTCCCATCCCTAACCCTAATCTGACCCACTACTTCACCAATTTACCATTTCTTCCGACAGGGAAATGTTACATGACCTATTGGCCAAGATTACACAAAGCCCTCGTCTGAATTATATACAAAGATGGTTTATGTTGTCGTTAGTTGTCATCAAGCTGATTCCAACTCATGACAACTCTGTGTGCAGAGTAGAACTACTCCTTAGGGTTTTCTAGGCTGTGACCTTTTGGAAGCAGATTGCCAGACCTGTCTTCCAAGGCACCTCTCGGTGGGTTCAAATTACCAACCTTTCAGCTAATAGTTGAATACTTGTTTGTGCCACCCAGAGACTTGCATAGATGGTAGCAGTATATTTTTAATTTCAATTTAGGCTGAAAGTATACTTAAAAAAAATAAGAACAGGAATATGACGTTATTAAAAACTGGAAAAATTCATTACTGTTTTATGTAGTCCTTGTAGCTTAACTTTAAAACATTTCAGTTCCTTCTCCTACCCCATCCCCAACTCCAAGCAGATTTTAGATAATACTCACTTGTCTGTAAAGCACTCTGAGATCCTTGGCTAGAAGGCTCTGTGTAGAAGCAAAAAGTATTATGTTTATTGATTGTTCATTAGCACATGAAACACTTGTCTGGAAATAGGACCACACTAAATATTTACCTTTCTTAGTTCTTTTTCTTTTATAGTAGGTTCCAAAGAGTACCACTGATAAAAGTAAGAGGACCAATAAAATCAACGGGATCAACACCATTAATGTAAACTGTAACTGATTTGCCTCCCCAGTATCAAGGAGGGTAGAATTCGTATCTGCAGTGAGTGTTTCTGTGGTCACTGCAGCAAATGTGCTTGAAATAGTCTCTTCATCTGTTCCTTCCTCTTCTGGGGTTGTATATGTTGACAGTTCTGGGTCCTCATGATTACCTGTGGAAACACAAGCAAAACTGAGATTGCCATGGAGACATTACCAGTATGTTCTGCTTTCAATGATTTTTAAATTCATCCTAGCTGCAGCCAGTGATAAACTTGATCTACTGTACTTGGCCTTCCAGTTCAGTATGACACAGAATATTGATTAAACATAAATGGAACTCAAGCTGGGAGTGTATGGAACACAGAACCAGAGCCCAGAGATAAACCTCTCACAAATCAGGCAGTTTACCCTTGACCAGACATTTGAGACACGCTTAAGCAAAGGGTGTCGGGAAGCTTTGTCATGTCAAGGGCGATTTCCCAAGCCAAGCTGTATGATATTCCAGGGAATCTCCTGTTATTTAAAGAGATGTAATGCTATTTTAATAAAACTTCTGAATAAATTTAAATTCGTATTTACCGAAATTTAAGTACCTGCCACATAATGCTTTTAGATGTGATGAAATGTACTCAGTGTCCCCATTTTTAATGAAAACGTTCCCTATCAATGGGAAGGAATTCTTTGAAATTCTTTGAAATTGGGATCAGTGTCAGGTCTCGCATTCTTTACAGAACTGAGTCTGCCACTGACATTATCTGACAGAAATCCTGCTGGATTCAAAATAAAATGATATGCATATCACGTTCTCTAGGGGAAATTCCCTCAGAGGCTAGAGAAACTGTGCCAATATTTTATGTAACAAGATGCATCTTTACAACTTTCCCTTTTAACAAGATATAAGTAAGTTTATTCTGTTTGGACCTCAGATTGTACTGAAAGACCATCCCGTGGATGGGAAAGGACTATTACCATGATGACTGTTCAAAACACCTTTCCTTACGGGGGGTCTAGGTATCTAAGGTCCATAAGCACTAACCTCAAGGAATAAGGGTCACTGCCGTCGATGACAGAGGGCAGTGGTGGCTCAGTGGTACAATTCTTGCCTTCCCTGCAGGAAACCTGGGTTTGATTCCTGGCCAATGCACCTCATGTGCAGCCCCCACCTGTCTGTCATTGGAGGCTGGGGTGTTGCTATGATGCTGAACAGGTTTCAGCAGAGCTTCCAGACTAAGACCGACTAGGAAGAAAGGCTTGGTGATCTACTTCTGAAAAAAATCAGCCAGTGAAAACCCTATGGATAACAACAATCCAATCCCCTTGTGCATGGGGTCACCATGAGTCGGGGGCTGACTTGACAGTAGCTAACACTAACAACAGCAGCACTTTTGTATACCACCCCCACCCCCACCCCCACATTCAGCCTTCACTGGCCTGGGTTATCAGGGAAGAATGGTCACAACAGTCCTGGACACAGGATGACTTTAATGAGGAGGCCACTCTGGTGGACAAGTGTCTTTTGCTGGTCCAGGGCGATACATGATATAAAAAAGCTTTTAACATATGTGTGAATATATTATTGACTTAGTTCAGAAACTTACAAACATAGGACAAAGTCACTTAACCCAAAGGGTAGAGGTCAATAAATGGTAGATTTTAAATTTTTTTTTAAATCCTACTTTTGATATACACATGTGAGGAACACCAGTAAGTTATACTCTGTGGTTTGTAATTGATTCTGATAGTTTCGGATGGCACTTACCAAAGTCATTATTAAATGGATTCCCTGGTCTTGGGGGAGACTGAAATGTTATCTCTCTAACCAGAATAATTAGACTATGACTAGATGAATGTTTTTATGTTTTACCCCAACTCACAGAATCCATCATCACACAGTCATGAAGCGAGATAGAAGTACTGAATTGGCCTCGCATTGGCGAATTTTGTTATTCTAGAGAGTCAAGGCCTAAGTTGTGGAACTAAGTTAGAGTTAAGTGCTAAGTTAGTCATGACCTAACTTGTAGACTGTAGTTTAAAGCAGCAGAATCCCCCATTTGCATAGCACCTTTCACTTTAGAAAGAACTTTTACATGACACTCTCCTCAGTGGGCCACATATGAATGGTAGGCAACATTACAACAGGCTGTGAGGAAGACCTTGCAAACCTGCAAAGCTAGGTTAATTCTGTTGCTCCTACTACTGCTGTAGCTGCTGCTACTATTTCAAGCTAATCTTCATAGCGAACTTACTAACGGCCAGCCCCCTTGCTCTGCCTTTTACCTGGATTATCCATTTTGTCCTCACCATTTTTTCAGATGAGGAAACTAGGACAAACGAGACTGTACAACTTGCCAAGATCACAAAGCTAACATGGCGGAGTGAAGATGGGAACTTAGAAGAGCCGATCGCAGAACCCGTGCTTTTGACTTCCGATCAGGGAGTAATGCAGTGACTGCAAATCATGAAGTTTGTGCATACAGTGGTGAACAAGAGAGACGCCTCATGGTCTTGCCCCTTGGCCTATACTAAAAGGTCCTTTCTGGCATGAAGAGGGGGAGGGGAAGGTTCCCAGAAACCTAAGCTTTGCAGGGGCTCTTGCTGCTGTAAAGCCCCTGAAGCCCAGGCTCTCGCTGCAAGCAATGCTGCCCAGCACAAGAGGATCTTTTCAGCACCCCTCCAAGGAAGGTAAACAAAGTTCCCAGTAGAACACTTAGAGCTGAGTCACTGCTTGACCCATGGCCCCAGAAGAAGAGAAAATAAGAAAGTAAATAGCTAACAAAAGTAATGAGGGTGCTTGGCAATTGAGATTGAAAGAGAAATGTAAAGAAGCACACCAGGCGGTCCTGGGTTGTGTACATTTATTGTTCAGCATGAGAAGCAATGCTGGTCACAGGTGGCCGTTGATGGCATTGCAGAGTGAAAGGGGCCAGGAGGTTATCTCCAAAATCCCTCTGATACGCATCTTCATGTACGTTTTCCATGCTAAGCATCATTTGATTTTTCAGATTCTTTAGTGGCTATTTGAATAGATGATACTTAGATTGAGGACTCTTTCTCTCTCACTTTCCTTTACCCAACAAGCCCTCATCTCCAGGAACTCCTAAAACCCATCCTTCAACCCGCCCTGCCCCAACCAACTCCGTAATAGCCTCAAAATAATACATAACAATACTTGGCATTTACTAAATGCTTAGTATCTGCTAGGTTCTAGGATAAACATGCATTATCCACATTTTACAGATGAAGACACTGAGTCTCAGGTTACAACTGTGCTGTTTGTGAAGCAGATTCTACAACCATACTGATACAGAGGGTTTGGAAGCTGCATTTCCTCAAGGCCTGTCAGCAGATGGGCCAACGAGAGATGTGCTTTCTAGCCACAGCGCTATCAGGTAGTAGTTGGCGGGAATTTGGACAAATTATTTATCCTTTAGTGGCTTAATGTTCTTATCTGTACAACTGAGTTGGACTAGGTGATCTCCTTATTAGGGGTCCTATCTATTTCCACAAGAGTCAGAATCGACAGGATGGCAATGGCTTTGGGGTTTTTTGGGGGGTTATCTATTTCCACATCTCTACAAGGAACCCTGGTGGTGCAGTGGTTAAAGTGCTTGGCTGCTGACCAAAAGGTTGGCAGTTTGAACTTACCAGCTGCTCTGCGGGAGAAAGATGTGGCAGTCTGCTTCTGTAAAGATTACAACCTTGGAAACCCTATGGGGTGGTTCTACTCTGTCCTATAGGGTCACTATTAGTCGGAATCAACTCTACAGCAGTGGGTTTTTGGTTTATGCTCCTTGCATATCTTTGATCTTGAAGATTATTCTGTGTCTGTATACAGACAGCTATCTTATTTTTCTACCCATTATTTGGATGTACCATAACCCCTTCCTATTGATGGAGACTTAGGTTGCTTCTTTTCTATTTCCAGCAATAATTCCAATGCTGCAATAAACACCCTTGTGCATCCTTCAGTTTGTCTCAAAAGTGGAGAGAGTGGATAAAGAGTGTTGGGTATGGGGAGAAGGAGGAAAGCACCAAATGACTCTTGGTGATCTGATCTCCAAAAGTTCTCCAAGACCACCTTGGTCCTGTCCTCACACGTGAGAATTGGCAGATACTGAGTCAGAGAAGGGCTGGATTTGCAGGGAGCCTGTGGTGGGACACCAGGGTTAGTCCACACCTGTGGGAAGAGGAGGAGGGTTGAAGACATTGGAGATTAGTCCCAAAAGAACATGTGAGGAGGAGTCAAATGTCATCAAAAGTGGAGCAGGAAAACCAGAGTGAGCTCTGGAATAAAGTCAGTAACTGGGAGTGGGCAATCAGGGGAACAGAAGTGAAAGTTAGGAGGAAAATCAGGGGTGGACAAAACCAAGGTGGAAACCAGGAGGATCCAGGTGTCACAAGAGTAGAGATGGGGTGGAGCTGCTTTTTCTCAAAGCAGCATAGCTGTTCCTCCCATGGCCTGTGGGACCTCTTGGCACTTCTTGGCACAATGGATGTGGGGCCCTCTAAAACCATTACACAGCCTCAGACAGCCCTGTGGACCCCAGCCTTTTTTTTTTTTTTTAAGTTTGGCCATTTTATATTTTATCAATTTCAAATACATTTGGGAAAATAGGTTTATTTTTCTATATTAAACAGGGATCACCATACTCTGCAAAGTCAGGTGTTACTGGTTTATAAAATAAATTCTCGAACTAAAGGAAAGGGAAAATGTCATGACTAGGGAATCAGCCTAAGGTCCCAGGATCAAACTCTTAAGAAAAATTTGCCCTGTCTGCCTCAGAATCTCTTCCCCAACCTCTTCTTAAACACTTTTTTTTGTTTTGCTTTTTTTTTTAAATTTTTTTATTGTACTTCAGGTGAAGGCTTACAGAACAAAATAGTTTCTCATTTAACAGTTACTACAAATGTTGCCCTACGACAATGGTTAACAATCTCACAACACATCAACAATATCCTTACTCAGCCTTGGGTTCCCTATCACCAGCTTCCTTGTCCCCTTCTGCCTTCTGGCCCTTGTCGCTGGACTCCGGTACCTTGTTAGTCTCATTTGGTTTTACAGGGCTGTCCACTCCCAGGCTGAACAGTGAACCTCGGAGGTAACTTCACCACTGAGCTGATTTCCTGTAGGAGGTACCCTATGCTTCTTGGATAAACGTGATGCTTTACA